CTATTGTCATATATAATTCAGTTATAAGTGATTTTAAGTGATTATTGACCTTATACTATTCTCTAAAGACTATTCTGATCTCATTTAAAAGGATAAGTTTTTGTGCTTATATACAATTATTAAATTTTCCCAATACTTTTTCAAAATCTGATATCGTAAAGAATAATTCCAGCCCTAGTACTTCCTTTCTAATAAAATCTGTCAAGATATTTTTTCCAGAATGTAGGAATAAGCGTAATACTAAAATAGTATCAGGTTTTTTATCAGAATATTGTACAAGATATGTAAACCAATTAAGAATATACTTTGAAAGAACTTTATTCTCATTACACCAAACATTTTCTATATGCCAGATTATCAGCTCAATAAGAGCAGAATCTATTTCAATGATAGGCACTTTAAAACTTAAGAAGAGGTTGAAAAACTTTGTATTTAGTAGAAAGCAATATAGTGAGTATGGAAGGAAATTAATGCCTTAATATCGAATTAATCCTTTTATGACTATCTGATCTATTAGATTTACTAATTTTACCGCTTCCCCTTCTAGCTCAATTAAGTTAATTTCATACTTAGTAATTTTGAGTTTAGATGACATTTTAAAGAAAAGATCACTATCAGAATCCTCAAGTTTTAATACTTATAATTTTTGTATCAGTTTAAATGTATACTATTATTACTTGAATAGCTTCGTATATAGTATTGTAAGTGAATTTTCTTTTATATTATATATATCAATTAGATTACTCTAAACAAAGTGATTGTTAGAATCTGATATTCTAAGATAGTCTAGTTTTCTAAGACTCAGAAGCTTCTTTTCTCAATTCAAGGCAATTTCATTAATAGTAAGTTTTTTTTGAAGGATTTTACGTTCTAGGTTTCTGACCTTGATTAGCACAGTAGCAATAATATTTATATTTTTTATTTTTTTGTATAATATAGGCATTTTCATTACTATACTTTTGATCATATAATAGGCAGTGTGATAAGGAATTATAAGTTAATGAAAACAAGTCTAAAATATTATCTGAGGAGTGAGAGAGTATACCTTTGATAAAATTATCTCTGAGTAATATTTTCACAAAATCAATTCTGTCTGAGTCATTTTACCATTAGTATTATTACAACCTTTAGCTTCTAGTTCTGAAACAACTAAGAGAGAACTTTTGCAATTTCTAATTTATTATAGACAGGAAAATCATGAAATCAAAAATAATTCTATCTTTGGATGCATTGCTTTTTTCATATGAACGTGCTCATTTGTTTTTTTATTATACTTAGGCAAATCAAGCATTCACAAGGAAAATAAATGTTTATTCATAATATTATCTATAATACTATTTTCTAAAAAGCTACTGAAAGTTTCTTACGAATAAGCTCAGTGAATACTGCGACCTAAGCGATGTTTTTAAGTCTCATATTAGTAATAGAAATGTGAAGGAATATTTTTTTCATATTACTACTACTTGCAACAGTAATACTATTTCTATTTCATTCTGAAAATACTTCAAGACAGATATCTCTAAAGTCATGATTGAGTGTATCTAGTATCTCTTTATATATAAGCTTAGATTCAATGTTATTATATATCTCTATTGGTAAATCAAAGTCAATAATAAGATAAAATAGCTCATCACTATCAATAAATTTATATAAGGAGTGTCCTTCATGATCTGAAAGTATAGCTTCTATTTCATTCTCATTGTTTACACTAAAAAAATTTCTCTGTCTAACACTATCGTCACAAATTTTATATAGACATTGACCTATATCTTTAGTTTTAAACTCATAATAGAATGGGATGAACACATTTAAGAACTCTAAAAGCTCAGAATGGATCATTTTTAGATAATTTTTGAAAGCTATACAATATCTTAAACTCGAGATATATTATTTTGAAAAAAAAGTTTAAATAAAAAATAAATATAGAAATTTGCCAATATCTTTCTAATAAAGAAAATATATGCGAACAAGCTTATAATTAACAAGAAGAATGCAAAATTCATTGAAAAAAGCATTAGCGAAACCTTTGCAAATAATGTGAAAAACTAACTACTTCAACCTATAGTATATGTAATTTACATGTAGATAAGTATTATTCAAAAATATATTACCATAGAAAGAAGTTAAATGCCTTAGAAAATCTGCCTTAGAAAGTTTTTGACTTCAGAGACAGGAGAAAAATAACAAATTTCTATTTTTAAAATGGAAGAAACATTTTTCAGATGGTCTGCCCTAAGTGTTCTAGGTAGCTTAGAAATTTCAGACTTCTTTACTTTTTATTTTTATTTTTTATTTATAAATATATCAGTATATACCATATACATATCATATACATATATAATACATATTTCATACATAAAAAAATTTTAATTTTTATTCCTAGAACTTTATTTTTACTAGAACACCTAGGGAACCTAAGGAAGATAATATAAGAATAAGTTAAATCGAGAAAAGAACACTTTCTTCTATAATAAAATCTGCTTTAGGAAGTGTTTCAGTAAAATTTCTGTTCTATGACACTCAAAAAAATAGCCAAATAATCTACCAGTTTAAAGTACGTATCTTAAAGATTAGTTAAAATTATAGAATAATACTAGCTAAAATTAATCGCAAATTTACTGCACTACCTGTCACCTTTTTTTATACTATATCAATCCAACCAAAAAGTAGTATCTGATATTCTCTTACAACTTTACGATAATATAAATGTGTATTGTCTGAAATAGAGTTCCAAAAATGACTCGTATAAACTAGCATATTTGACTCGCATGATTGTGCATAATTGTAAATTTTAGTTACACATAATAAATAAGTACTTTAAATTAAAGGTATGTAGGATAATTTTGACTCAAAATTTGACTTGACTCGACTCATTAGAAATACTAGTCTGAAATACATATCACAAAGTGCCTCACCAAAGCAAAATTTCTTATTTCTTTTTCTTATAATAATTCTGCTTTAGTGAATCATCAATTTTTTAGTGGATTGATAAAAGAAACGGGAATAAACATATTCAAAATAGATGATATTTAAGGAATAAATGAGCTGACCATAATAATACATATCACATCTCTAACTTTATACATAAAATTGGCCTAAATTATACTATAATTCTAGCTAAATTTAGACACAGATTTACATTGAATTACTGTACTATCAGATACAATTTTTTTATCACAATTTGGCATTTTAATAGGCAATCAAACAAGCATAAAGGGTAAGCATCTCAATATAGAATCCAGCATCCAATCAGGTGTAAGAGGCCAGTACTTTTATTATAGAACCAGGCATTCAAAAAAGACTGAAAAGCTAGTATCTGCAATATGAAATTTATCATGTAAATGGATTAGGAACAAGAAGAAAGCAGTCACTATTAGATTATGATATCGCTATTAAATTAAAGTACTACCATTCATTATTAGACTATAAAGTTGTCACATATTATACAGGAAACAGTTAAAAGAATGCTATAAATGTAAAGGAAATACCTATAAGTAGATTATGAAGTTACTATCAGATTATGGATGATAGGTTATAAAGTTACTGTCAGATCATGTAATTAGATTATAATATCACTGTTATATTATGAAGTTATTAATAGGCTATGAAGTTACCATTGTGTTATAAAATTACCATTATATTATGAAGATACTAGCAGACTATAAAGTTGTCTTCATATTCTAATCTAAGTCGCATATGACTTCATAATATAATTATATAATGAAGTCACATGCGACTTATGATATTGCTAATATACATTTTTTTATATAAAATAAAAGAATACAGAAATTATGTAATTTTAGAATGATAATACTTATAAGTTATCATAATAAAAAACAATTAATATGAATAAAAGTACATATTCATAATAATTAAAATCAAACAATTTTCACTAATGAACTGTTTTTAATCTTTTAAAATAAGGTTTAACAAGTATATAAAAATGTTATAAATTTAGAATAAAAAGGTATTTTGCAAAAAGAAAAAAATCTTTTATCTTATTTTACAAATATAATGGATAGATCATTTATATTAATAAATTAGAAAACTGCTTCTTAAATATGTATAAAAGAAATTGGTATTTTTATATTATTAATATTAGTGGTATCTTTAAATATTCAATGTTGTTGTAATAAGAATTCTTTGATAAATGAAATTAATAGGATAATGATTTAAAGCATACATCATATGGACACTTTGCAATAAAAAGGAAGGAAACTACTAAAAAAAATTTTTACTTCATAAGTTAAATATGATTTTTTTTTAGCAAAATAAGTTCAGATTTAACATTATATATTAATTAGATTATATTATAATAATAAAATCATATTAATATAAAAATAGGAAAGTCTTAAAGATATAATTAGAATATAAAAAAAGATATCTACTATAAGAAATGAATAGATAAAAATTTTTTGAAATTTTTCACTACAAAACGCTAAAAGGAATTCATTGCTGAAAATGAGATTTGTGTAATTGAATGTTGAAAAACAAATGTCACAAAATGGTAGATGGGTTTATTTGCCGGGTCACATATACTTATTAGGAGTGATATATAACTGTGATAATTAGCATTTTTTTTTTTTTTAAAAAAAAAGAAATTTCTCTGTTCCCAGAATACTTAGTAAAATGAAGAACGGCGGAATGTGATACGATGTGACAAATTCCTTAACCCCTTAACCTAATCCTAATCCTAATAATCCTAAACCTTACTCTAATAATAAATACCCAGAAAAACAAATCTAACTACCATTTTTATCCGGGAGAAGCTGAGCGTCATTAGCATGACAGAATATTTATAATGAATATTTTTGGAACATTTAACAGAGATAAGGCCTAATTTTTTCTAATTTTTGTATTTATTTAAAAAATATAGAATTGATAATGATTATAATTCTAAAATTCATTCAGAAGATATAATATATGACTAGTAATTTGTCTACAATCCATATCACAAAAGCAATCCTAAAAGATAAAAGCGAATAGAGATGTTAAACGGTCTATTGTTGGTTCTCGGTCCAGTTTGAGGGACCGATGGACTTCGATTCTACAATAAAGTCCAGTTTATAAAATTGTGAAAATGACGATAATGATAATTCCGATGTTAAAATCTTTGGGGATTTTGTTAAGTTTTATTAAATCGGTCTAGAATCAAATTAAAAACCGAGTTCTTAAAATTATGAGCTCGATCTACGGGTTCAGTTTTACCCTCAGACCGCCTGAAACTGTACTGAACCGTTAACATCTCTAATATTCCATATCCAATTAGATATCTGATATGTGCAAGTCTAAAGGTTGGGCATCCTGAAAAAAAAAATCTAAACCGCATCTTTAAAGTTGCAATAGAAACTAAAAGTATATCTTACTATTTATATCTTTATGACGAAATCAATCCACCATCAACAATAAGTGTCTTTAGGCCAAATAATTTGTTAGCAAATTCATTAAATGATACATTGTAAATAAAAGTAAAAACTTACCTGCCCAGTAACATAATCAGCTTTTGCAAGGTACAAAGCAGCATCAGAAATTTCCTATTTTATTCAAAAAAAAAAAATGAATTTTTCGAAAAGATAATAATAAAGTTCCTTTGCTTAATTTACCTCAGGTTTCCCAAATCTTTGCATTAGTATTTTTTTTTTATAAGATTCCTTTTCAGAAATTGCTGAAAATAATGATAATTACATTAAGAAATGTTTAATTGGTTATTCAACATTTTCGAGCAACTCATTTGAACGCCGCAGCAGAAAGTGACCATTATCCGGTAATTACACAATCAAAATATTAAATATTACATATAGGAGTACCATTTACAGTTTTATTATGTGTATTTTGATTGTATAGATACCAGACAAATGTTTATTCATTACTAATATATTCATACTTGAAGTCATATCAGTCTCAATAAATCCGGGTGCGATGACATTTACGCGAATATTCTTCCGTGCAAGCTCTTTAGCCAATGATTTTGAAAATCCTAAAAAAACAGATTTATAAATTAAATATTAATATTTTAAAGAAAGTAATAACGAAGGAAAAGATACATTATACCAATAATTCCAGCCTTTGAAGCACTATAAACAGATTGTCCACTATTCCCTTGTAATCCAACAACGCTTGATATATTAACTATACATCCTGACAAAATATAAAAACGATTAATTAATTCTAAAAAAAATATAAATGTTTACGTACGATTATTAATACTGCACCCTTTTTCGTTTTAACCATTTGTTTAGAGATATGACTACACATATAAATTGTTCCAAGAAGATTTGTTTGAATAATATCATTCACTTCTTGTTCTTTAAGTCTAACAACAAGCGAATCATGTGATACTCCTAGAAACAATAAATCATTTAATGAAGAACTATTTTATTTTTACGATGTAACTTTAAGTTAACCTGCAGCATTAATCAAATAATCAACATTCTGTAACGATAAAATATCCTTGAAGAAAATAATGCAAATTAAAAAAAAAAAAAAGTAAAAATAAAATTTTCTTTCACATAAAACGGAGTGTTACCGTGCAAACTTTCTCAATTTCTGTAGGAATTCTTAAATCACATTTATATCCTATATGATTATTGTCTACTTCAAGATTTTTATTTAAGTAACTTTTTGCCTTTTCAATTGTCTCTTTATTACGTCCTATCAAAGCACATCTTGCACCATTCTGTGCAAATTTTTGTGCAATAGAATATCCTATTCCACGCGTTCCTCCTGTTATCACTACAAACTCTCCTTTAAAAGGCTTACTTTGAGCTATATCATATTTTGGGAAAAGAAAAAATTTAAGATTGAACCAAGTGAACCATCTAAGTTATTATATAAGATGTATATTTTACCTGAAGAAAACATTCTCTTTGTAAAATATCTATACATCTTAATAATAAAATCACAGAAAAGAGAAATGAAATGAAAAAAAAAGGATGGGAATTTATTAAGACAATATATTGTTATTTGAGTTACACCAGATAATCAAATTGTCTAAATGAATATGCAAGATTATCATCGTCTTTAATCTAAAAGGATTAATTAAAATCGGAGTCAAAATAAATAAATATATCTATTCATCTAATTCTAATTACAATTATTATCTCACTCACAAATTAATAATATTATTACAATTAATCATAAATAAACTTTATATTGAACATAACCCAACCCATTAAATCATTTAATCGATCAGTTTCAGTTCCAAAATTTTAATAATAACGAAATGCCTATAAAATAAAATTTTATTAATAATTAATATATGAGTACTCATTATAAGAAAGTCAATTCACCTTAGAATCAAGAAATTGGTTAACATTAAACATTATTCACAAGCCAATTTAGCGTCAAAACTTGTTAAAGCGATAGCAAACGCTTGGAGAGGACACATCGGATACATAAAGTCCATCGTAAATGTATCTTCTTCAACGCGTCCAAATTGCATTATGATATAATCCACTATTGAATTAAACAAAAGAATTCCGTTAATATCATCAAATTTAAGTTAAATAAGTATAATTGCAACTAAGAGGGAAACACACAATCATTGTCGTGTACAATTTGAAAATTTTTCACTGAGGCCAAAGTAACCCTTCCACTGAAATTTAAAACATATGACTGTGTTTCTGTAATGACAATAACTATTTTAGTAATTTTATAAATTAGAAACAAAAATCTGTTAATTTAATATTTACCTTCATTCCATTGTGGGGATTTATTATGCAATACCAAAATATCTCGATGTTCTCCATTTTTGAACTTTCCAATCAATGTTTCTGCATCCTAATCCGATAAAAATTAATTAATTAACATGAATAACAAACAAAAGAAAAGATTAATAATAAATTCTTACCGTTTCCGGTCTAAATACCGGTCTTGCACCATGCTTCGTCATACCTATTAATAAGACAGTCATTTTCCTGGGTCCTTTAAACCCAAGGATATTAGGATCCTATAAATTATTTTGTCAAAAACTTTTTTCTCTTAATAATGATTTCAAAGAAATAAAATATTTTCTTACATAAAATAAAGACTCACATAAACAACTGCTCCCAATTCTTCTCGAATAGGCAAAGCTGTTGATTCGGGTTCACGTTTAAATGGATTTCTCCCATTTGAATATATAGCAAAAGCTGTACCCAAGAAATTAGATCTAAAATATAATAAGATCATTTATTTATTTTTTTAAAAAAAAAAGAAAAGAAAAAAAGTTGATGATGTATCATCATAATCATAGCTTACCTGACCTTTCCTACAATACTATCAGACGAGACATTTGCGCTAAGTCGATCTGTTGTTATGACATAATGAGAGCTTTTACTCTTTTTTCTTTTTCTAGCAGCAAGAAGAAATATTTTTGTCTCTTCCCCATTTTCTGACGTATCTTCAATAGAAAGTTCGTACTGAGGATACAATTTTCCAAAACCATCTTTACTACGAGTTATTTTGCAAAGAACTTTTTGACCTTGCGGAACAGGACTAAAGATTAAATAAAAGAAAACTAAATTAATAGAGAAAAGTAGTTAACGAAGCAATATTCAAGAAATCTATATTAAAATTTACTTCAATACGAATTTAACTACTTCTTCCTGGGTCATTTCTTCTCGCGTTTTTTGTAATCTAAAAGTTGTGATCATTTGAGCGGTTGGTCTATTTATAATTAAAGCCCTTAAATGTTCTGCAGGACCAACAGGTTGGGATAATGTAGTAGTGGATTCATCAAATGCAGAATTCGCATAAGACGACTGCGATAAAAAAAAAAAAAAAACATGTAAACTGTTTTATAAATTTCTGCCAATTTCTAACATATTCCATAATTTCAAATACCTCATTCCTTAAAGTGTCCGAGTCTTCTTCTAAATCATCAGAAGACGATTCATCGTCAGAATTCTCAATTGAAAGGTGATTAATTGCCGTTATTAAAGATGGCGATAGTTCTCCTGTCTCTATAATTTTTTTGTTAGAAAAATTATTTCTTATTGAGTCAAATTAAAATAAATCATTGATTTAAGAAATACTTACCTTCAATTCCTACATTGGGAATTTGAAGTGTATTTGCCCGGTTAGTGCTTGTTCCAGTTTGAGGATCACTGCTCATATTTAAATTGTCTTTATTAAAAATCATTCGTTAATACACTTTAAATAAAAGGATTCTATATAAAAAATTTTTTTGTTCATGAAAGAGTTGAAAAAATAGCAGTCAAATAACCTTTTACTTGTTATATGCATGATTTGATAAATTTGGAAAGATTATATGTCAATCTTTATCTTTATTTATCATGCCACACAACACAATCTGTAGATTATTTAATTTTAAGAATCTCGGTGAAAATATTTATTTTTCTTATTGACAAAAAAAAATTTTTAAAGAATGTCAACTTCGTTATCATTTGCACATTATCAATTCATTCCTAAGAAACAATTATTAACGAAACCAAAATTCTGGGAGGTTGTTAGATTTTTTTATTTCTGATTAAATTATTTTTATTTAATTTTTCTTAAAAAAATCAAAACAAAACAAAAAAAAAACCAAGATATTAGGACCATTTCCAACTGGAACACGTGAACAGGATTTTGGTGCGGATCCATTAGAAGCTTATGGTATATTATCAAATTTTACATTTCTGATAATTCCATCAAATTTATTATAAATTAAAATTAAAACTTTTTTTTAAAAAAAAATATTGATCAGGTGGTTTTTCAAAATTAAAATATTCAAAAGAACAAGTATTTCCATCAGAATTAGCTAATAATGGTATTATAAATTGGTCAAAAATTCAATCAAATGAAGATGGTTCGGTAGGACCAATTGACTTTAATAACATTAGGTAAAAAAAAAAAAAAATTGTTTAAAAAAAAGATCCTCAATCAAGAAATTATACATATATTTGTTTTTTTTTAAAAAAATTTAAGGTGGGATTTTAATAAGAAATCATTAGGATGGTCAATTTCACAATTTCAATTATGGGCTAGGGGATATTTTACTACTCCAGAGTTCTTTTCGGAACAAAAAATTCCAATCCTCGTACAATGTCACAATATTGGAGATTTTTACATTAATAACCAAAGATTTCATGGGGATTGGTATAATTATCGTACATCTTATAATATTCTTTACTTAACACCTAATACGCGGTACACAATTGATGTACGAGTCGTTAATGAAATTCGAATTTTTGGTGATAAAGTTCCACCAAGAATAAAATTCGATTGTGAATTAAGAAATTTAGAACTAGAAGAAGTGGGTGCAATGTTTTTGCATGAAAGAATCATTGTGCCTGATATAATTGGAGGAACAAGATTTGCTGGTGAATACATGAGCATTCCGATATTGAATACATCGGAAAATGAATGGATTGATATTGAAAAGGTTGCGATTGTTAATTGTCCTACAAAGGTAATATCGAAATTATTTTTAAATGTTATTTATTATTATCATTTTAATAAATGATTTTTACTAGATAACAGTTGAATTAATTCCTACCTCTTATGACTCCTTAACACACGGAATAAGACTTGCACCTTCACAACATCAAAATGTTAAAATAAGACTAACTTTAGAAGAACCTTATTTTAATCCATTATTACCGTTCTCTTTAAAATTTGATATATCCTCAAAAACACCAAAAGGTCATCAAAGTCTTTTGACAAAAACTACTAAAGAAATACAGATCAAGTATAAAAATTTAGACGCGTTTTATAAATTCACTTTTGAAGATTTTGATGAATCGATTCAATATGGTAATCCAATATTCTCTTTGATTTTAAATTATAGCGATCAAATATTTAATATTAACTATTTCCAATTTTAGCCATGATTATGCACCCAAAAGAGAGTATTACGCCCAATAAAGCTCCGATATTGGTAGCATTACATGGAGCTGGTGTTGAAGCTGATGTAGAATTTTGGACTAATGCTTATCCAAAACAAAGATGTTCCTGGGTAATTAATTATAAGAGAACTTTTTTTTTTAATTTTTATTTTTACTAGCCAAGTGCTAATGTTTTAATATATATATATAAAGGTATTATTACCTACAGGAAGAACACCATGGGGATATGATTGGCATGGGCCGAGTTTATTAAATGTTCAATATGCTATAAAAGCTTTGGTAAATCCAACCGGAACATTTAAAGAATATTTGAACGATTTTACACCAGACCCAGATAAATTATTCATTTCAGGTGATTATAATTTGTTTAAAAAATAAAAAAGAAAAATAATAGATTTTACTAAATAACTTTTTATATAGGACATTCAAATGGTGGACAAGGTGCTTGGTATTACATGTCACACTATCCCGATTCGGTGATTGCTGGCACACCTGCAGCAGGCTATGTTAAGATTCAACATTATGTGCCATATTTTTGGAACAGTTTTGCTCATATAGATTCTATATTAAAAGGGGTAAATGTTTATAATAATCAATCGCATGTATTTTATAATTATTTATAAAATTTTAACCCTTTATTAGATTTTGGATTCATCATTAGCGGAATTTAATAATGATCTATATGTTTCAAATTTGGTAAGTAAAGTAAATTAGCATTAAAATTTTTTTTTTCAAATTGTTTTTATTGAAGTTTTATTTATAGGTTAACATACCAATATTAGCAAGAGCCGGATCAAATGATGATAATGTACCTCCGATGCATTCAAGACAAATGGTCAGATTAGTAAATGAATATTCAAATAATCCATTGGCCATAAAGTAAGTTTATTCTATATAAATCATGATTCACCCTTTTTTTCCTTTTTTTTTAATTGATTTTTTTATTGTTAGCTTATCAGAAGTGATAGATCAAGGACATTGGTTTGATAATATTATGAGTGATAAAGTCATGCAGGATTTTATGAATAAATATTTATTAATCCAAAAAGATAGTTTCCAATTATCATCAGATAATCGTTTAATAAAGGATCCGGTTCTATTGCGTCAATTTACTATTACATTAATGAATCCCGCAAATTTTGGAGGTAAAGGTGACATAATTGTTGAACAACTGTTTATTCCTTTTAGGTAAGTAAATTAAGTAAATGAGATCACATCAATCAATCTAAATATTGTCAATTAATTATAATCAAAAAAAAAAAAAAAAATTAAAGGCTAGGAAAGATTCACGTAAAGATATATCAAGTTAGCCCGGAAGACGGTTTATCTTCGATCACATATACTTTAAAAACGACAAATATCAGAAGGTTTAAATTTAAGAATCTAAACGAAAATATTTCAACAATAATTATTGATGATGCAGAATTTAATGCATTGTCCATGAATCAAGAATTGCGACAAAACGGTTGGTTTTATAAAAATGATAATGGAAATGCGTGGAAGGTAATGCACTTTTTTTTTTAATTGAATATTTGTTTATTAAAAATTTTTAACTTTATTTTATTTTATTTTATTATATTAGGTTTCTAATGATGATACATGGATGTATAAACAAAAGCATCCTTTAACATATGGTCCAGCTCATTTAATTCTTGAATCTAAATCTCCATTGCTTATAGTAATTGGAACAGCTTCGGCTTCAAATGCTGTTACTTCAAAATTCATGAATGTGGCTCAAGAAATTTCTCATTCATGGTTTCTTTATGGAAATGGAAATGCCATAATCGTTCATGATACTGATTTAATTGATGACAATGAATTCACCGGTAATGAATATGTTAAAGGAAATATGGTATTGTTGGGAAATATCTTTGAGAATAAAGTAACAGGAATGATAATGAATGAACGAATTAGTGAAGGTATATATATTATGAAAGTTCATATTTTTAACTGAAATTTTTAATCATGATAATTCTTATTTTAATTCATAGTCAAGTTTTATAAGGATGGTTCATTTCAACTGAATTATAAAAAATTTTCGGATCCCGGAACGGGTTATTATGATGATCTTTTAAGATATAATTTTCTCCTGATATTCTCGATTTTTAACATCATCGCGTTTTTTCTTATTCCTTTAGGAATTTTATTTTTACACCCATATAAATTCTCTCAACTTTCGCTAATAATCTCAGGAACCGATCTTTCTGGTTTAGATCAAATCGCTAAACTATTTCCTAAACGAACTGGCGTCCCAATTCCGGATTGGATTATTACAGGATCAGAAACGAAATGGAAAGGAGTTGGTGGTTTACTTGGTGCAGGGTTAGTAAACAACATTTTGACATTGATTGAAATATTTGATTATTAAATTATTATTTTTGTTATTATTATTATTATTATTTCCGATAGGTTTTGGGATAATGAATGGAGATACAATGATGCAATTGGTTATTTGGTTTAAGTGGTAAATTAAATCTATGAAACATTTGTGTTAAAGCTAATACATTTATTTGTCTAATAAATTATCTATATTTATATAATGTTTTTTAATCTACAATATTCCAAGTTTCAAACCATTTCCTACCTTTAAGTTCACTAGCAGGATAATCTATACCAAATGCTATGTCTTTAAAATATAAAAATACTATTACTATTAGGGAATAATATATACCAAATATTATATTCTTTGTTCTTGATTTACAAGAACTAGTTAAATGATCTGTCACAAATGCTGCCATTAATATTGAAAAATATAATGCTGGGAAATAGTGATGTAAATATGTAACCCTTCCCATTATCCAAAATGGCAAATAATGTAATAACCAGCCTATTGCACATACTTTTCCGACGAATAAGAAATGTGTCCATTGAGCTATGAATAAATAAATATATATATATTATACGTATTTGCCTTGAATGATTTGCCTAAAGAAGCTAACACGAAAATCAAAAAAAAAAATTCTTTACCTGGTGAAAAATCCTTATATCCTCTCTGTTTTCTTGCTAAATACCAAAGTAATATAAATACGAATATAATTAAGGATGCTGTACCGGACCACCATACCACTGGATTTCCAAGTAAATAAAATTTAACTACGTCATCTGCCCAACTACACATCCTTAACCCAACCTTTAATAATGGCCATTGTCCTGGTGTAGATGCAAGAATATCTTCTTTATCAGGATCGGGAACAAGTGCATTATTTGTTGTATACATGGCAACATTTAAATGCCAGAAATCGTTTAAAAAATTCGACTTATAATTGGCTCTACCTCCGCTTGGCACTGAAATTTTTTTTTTTTTTTTAAAAAAAAAAAATATATAATTAGGTATTAAATTGATTATAATGATGTTAAAACTAAACGTTAAACATACGCAAATCATTCCAATGTCGCTCTATATTCCAATAAGTGTGTAAATCCTTTGGATTATTTTGTTTATCGCAAGTCACTTCGACCTGCTTAAACCCCCATTGTGGTAATATCGCATTGGCAGCCCGAAGATAACATCCGAGATGTTTATGACGAAATCTCATACGTGTTGTTAATGATCTAATACGATCCGTCTTTGTATACATATCATCTACAACTTCAACCACCCAATAATCATTTAGATCCCCAATTGTATCATTACCGTAACCACTAACTTCCCACTGTGATTTCGTTACTGGAGAAGCAACTTGATG